CTGTAGGTCTTTCTGCAGCTTTAGAGAAAACTTTCCACAATGATAATGGGAATGTTTGCTAAAGAAACAAGTCATGCCCAGCCTAGGTTATTATGTTTCATTGAGGATTAGTGACACCTTTAATAAATGGACTGTGATAGACAACACTAACTGCTAAAGTAATAACCTCTCTGATATGTGTGTGTGCAGTTAAGGCATCAGATCAAACGCACATGTCAGCCCAAATGTTTTGTTGTGTTTACTTTTTGGGGGGGTTAATGAAAGCAGAAGCCACTTACATTTGAATCTTGCACCCTATACTGTGAGTTCCCTCTGAGGGCATGACAGAGCTGTGTGACCCTCAGCCTGAGCTCCCCTCCTCCATCAGCTGATGACGGTATATAATGTCAACCCGCTGCTCGGCAGGAAGTGCGTTTGGTGCCTGAAGCTAGCTGGAACATGAAGAGGAGAACCTGCTTTATACTGAACTACCGGGAAAACAAACTAAGCTTTTGACGGTAAAATGAACCGTTTTAATCACGAGATAAGAACGAGGTTACCGACATTTCTCGCAGTTCGGGTGGAATAGTGTCGTTTTTGTCTTGGACGCACAGCAATGATGTTGTTGCTATCGCTAGCAGTTAGCTTAGTGTTGTTGAGCGAAGTTGTTAGCTGTGATGATAGCATTATGAAACACTGCTGCAGTTATGGGTGACAACTGAAACAACTTTGTTTGTTTACAGTTTGTCACGGAGCAAAGTCTGCTTGTAGCTTAACGCGAGGTGGCTAGTGAGTAAAAATACCAAGCTAAGGCAGATCTCGTTAGGTCCCCCCCCCAGTAGGTTTCATACCAAACTTCATGACAAACACTTTCGGTTTAATGTAGCCTCGCCTGTTTGGCAACGTGGGTTTGAATCTTACTGTTTTTAATAATCTTCTGTGAGTCTGTAAAGTTTGCTTGTGTACTCGGCATACATGATGTTTCCGACTGCGCTGGTTTTAAAACCCAGTTCAAACTTTTAACTGGCGACTCGTTCAGTGTTTGTGTTTAAAGGAACTGTGGTGTTTAAATAGCTGAGGGGTTACGTAAGTTGTGATCTTACTGGAAACAATGCAATCTGGTATTTTTGATGACAAATCGAACCAAACAATCAATTTGTAGATTCCCTTTAAAGAGCTTGTATCGTGTTTTATAAGAATATGACTTCCTAGAATTAAAGTGTCTTTAAATCTCAGCTTGTTATTTGACATTTGAGACTGCAGCGATGAGTAGTAAGAAAGTCAAGAATGTTTACGTTGATTTCACTTTCCATTTGCTGCCATGTGCCTAGGAAGTCAACAGAGCAATGCCATGGCCTCGGGGAAGAGTATTTAATTTAGATGAACCTTTGCTTACACTGCTTTTTTAAATATTTTCTTATAGAACAAACATCAGGACATGGAGGGTGACAGAAGAGGACGACCATGGGGGAAGCTAGTCAAAGTGGACTCCAGTGAAACTATCCTCCTTTTCAGCAAGGAATGCACAGTTGGCAGGAAAAAAGGTAGGTTTGTTTGTTTGTTCTCAGTAAACAACAACAACAGTTTGTCTTAAATCTTATGCCAAAAAAGTGTGGTTATCATTTTTATCCTGTTTTAAAATGCTCTAAACGTGGCGATGCTTGTTAACAAAAGACAGTCACGTCGTATACATGGCTGTCAGTGTCTGGAGCCTTTAAAACCTCCCCCTTGAAAACACAAAGACTTCTTTAGTGCACCAAACTTAGACAGCCTCTTGTGATGAGAACAAAAGACGTCCATTGAGAACATGTGTGCGGAATATTAAGTAGATTTTTTTTTTGTTTGGGTTTTGCTTAAGAAAAGGTTAGGTCTATATTTTCTCCCCCGTGTCTGCATTGTTGTTGAGAGCTTTTGGGGTCTACTTTTTTACAATGCAGAGCTACTAGGCTTAATTGGTTGGCTTAAGTCTGGGCAATGGAAGATTTAAAAAAAAAAATGTTTTGGCAACACCATTTCACATACCATGCTGACATTGTAAAATAATTATTTATAAAAATAAAACAAACACATGGGCTGAGACTTTTTTTTTTAAACGATCAAATGGAAATCAGAGAAATGAAAATTGTAGGCGGATATATGTATATATGACCCATTATGCCACTTTAATAAGAATACTAAGAAGCAGAAGATTAATTTAGTAGTTTCTGTCACAATAATATGATATCTGTGCTGTGTTTTCATGGAGGTGTGTTATTATTTTTGTTGTTGCCAGGATGCTATCTGTCCTTTCCAGCCAGTAAACTTGTCTCAGGGGAGCACTGCAAGATTGTGAAAGATGAAAGCTCAGGACAGGTGTGGCTTGAAGACATGAGGTACTGTAAGCTGAAGCCTTTATCACTGAATTGTAGCTGCAGAACAAACACCTTGCATGTATCATGTACTTGTTTCCCAGTGGACCAAGTGAAATAATATTTAAGTTCTGTGGTATATAAGAATTTAAAATGCTTCAAGGACTGGGCTTGGGATTTTTAGAGCTTTTCGAGTGTGTGCTCCTGAATGATTCAATACTTGTCCTGCCAGCACACACACACAAAATGCTTGCACTGTATGTTGACACATCCGCTTTTTATTCATCTGCAGCACTAACGGCACGGTGATCAACGTGTCCAAACTGGTCAAGAAGCAAACTCACATGCTGCAGAGTGGTGATGTCATCTACTTTGTGTACAGGAAAAGCGAGCCCGAACAAAGTGAGTTGTTAAGTTTGTAAGGCATACATGTGACATGCTTGTGTGAATTTCTAAGAAGAAAATATGAACAGTATCCCCTCTTGTCCCCCTGCAGACATTGCCTATGTTTACCACTCAATCACGACAGAGCAAGCTGCTTCACCACACAGCTATGGTAAGTGGTCAGGTACTTCCCAACAACTCCTTTGTCAAATGCAACCACTGTTATTCACACGTTATTCATTTTGTGCCTCATTAGTAACCTCCCACTCTGTATGTAAACTTCAGACGCTGAGAGATCAGCCCACAGTCCCTCTCCTGTTCCAGCCTCAGAGATGTCTCTTTCAGTTGAGCCTGTAATGCTCGCAAAGCCGCCTCGAGATCCAACTCAGGAGGAACCTCAGCCATCCACCTCCGCTTCACACTTCTGTATTGAGAGCCCTTCCTCTTCTGGTCCCATGGCAACCACAGCCTCTCCTGCCCGTGGTAGGTTTTCTGTTAACAAACTTTTAAAGAGGATGACTCATTGTATCGAGAAAAAAATACTCCTTTTTCTTTCAGCCTATCCTCTGGAAAGTGAGAGAGAATACATTTTTTAAGGCTACACTTTATATATTTAAGATGTGGAGCTGTTTTAAACTTTTAACTAAGAGTTAATAGATAGTTAATGATTAATTACGGCATCTTCAAGTTCCTTTGGTGAGAAAAGGGTTCTGTGTTCGTGCTTCTCAGAGACTTCCTGGTCTCTTTGCCGGCTGTCTGAGATCCTGACAGGGTTGAGAAGCCTCCATCAATTAGCTTTTGGTCAAGAAATAGTCCAGTGTGTAGCTCCTTGTAAAGACACAACTTGCTGGTTTCACTGACAGAAGAAACAAGAAGATATGTGTTATTTAGTGGACATTAGAGATGCTGGTAGGTGGATTTTGTTACCTGTGGACAGAGCGAGGCTAGCTGTTTCCTCTTGTTTTCAGTGTTTGTGCTAAGCTGAGCAGCTCCTGGCTTCATGTTTAATAGATGGATGTGAGAGTGATATTGATCGTCTTGGCAAGAAATGCTATAGGCATATTTCGATTTTCTTGATTCCTTTGAAGGCACTGGTAGCTACAGAATAGGACTTCTTAAAATTAACCTGTAAATAGTTTATTTTGACTGTCAGAAGTGCAGATGGTTAATATAGAAGCTTAGAATAATATAATGATAATGAAAACAATTTTATATGATATGATTAAAATAGGACTGCACAGTGGCTCGGTGGTTAGCACCGTCGCTTCACAGCTAGAAGATCCCCTGGTTCTCGTACCTGTTAAGACGCCTGAATGTGAGTGTCCTTGGTTGTCTGTCTCTAAGTGTGGCCCTGTGATAGACTGGTGACCTGTCCAGGGTGTCCCCTGCCTTCACCCGGAGTCAGACTGCGACCATAAAGGATGCATTTGCAAATATTTTTGAGAGAGAGTGTGTTAAAATTACACATGGTGGGCGCCCGTATAGCTCACCTGGTTGAGCGGGCGACCCATGAACAGGGGCTACAGTCCCCGACGCAGCGGTTGTGAGTTCGAATCCCGCTCACGACCCTTTGCTGCAGGTCTCTCCCTCACTCTTCTCCCCACTTTCCTGTCTCTCTCCACTGCTCTACATAAAGGCAAAAAAAAGCCCAAAAAAATATATTAAAAAAAAATAAATAAAATTACACATGGTTACACAAGTTTGCTCCCTGTAAAACAATCAATTTTAGCTGTTGCCAGGTTCCAAAGATGATCATCTCAAGACACAACCATGTACCGATTCAATCAGCTGAGAAGTCTGGTAGCGTCAGTCCTACCAGTGGAAAATGTTTGTCTGGATCCCTGTTAAACAAGAACTTTGAAAAAGTTTATCCATATATGTTGAAAAGGTATTACTTGTTCCATGTAACTAATCAGATGCCGTGGGCAGCACACTGTTGGATACCATAGTGCAGTGACCACAGGTCGAGAAAGGTGGAGAGAATTCTTTTCATTAGATTTTTTAAAATGATACCAATAATGAGAAAAATGCTAAATATTAGATCTGAAAACTGTCTCAGCCAGTAATTGGTTGGCCACGAGTGTAAAACTGGTGACTGTTTGTTCCCAGCCTGGCAACTCTGTCGGCTCTTTTTTGATTTTATGGTGACGTTTTCCTCCCAAATCCTTGTCTGATTTTTAAAAAAAAAATATTTATTTTTCTTTCCACCCAGCATTATTTTTTAAGGGACATGCTGCTCTTACTTTTGCAGTATATTACTAATTGCTTTCAGTTGTGTGTGTTACTTCCGTACATAATTAGAAAAAATATTAGTAAATCAGTTGCCACATTGTGACAATCTTAATATTTTGATGTATCATTTTTAGTACACTGCAATCATCACAAACTATATTAACTAAATCATTCCATGTTAAAATGTTCCCAACTGAATTTTTCCAGCATCTGTGTGCATCAACACAAGCAGTTTGGAGTATTCATGTAAGTATTTGACTCAGATCTGTTCCTCCTGTCTTGTCAGGCCACACTACAGATGCACCCCCTGCAGAGGAAAAAGACACAGACAACCTGGAGCCAGAAAGCAAGAGGAGGAAAACTAATGATGGTTAGTTATCTTTTAACTTGATCAATGACCTGTCTTTCCATGATTCCTCCTACTAACTTTTATTCCAACCCCAAAACCTTTTTATTTTTCAACCTCATACCAGGCCTGAAAGGTTTTTATAATCCAGACCCACAACTTCCATAAACTGGAGACTCAGTGCAGACTTTAATATACAGTTATTGTGTTTACAGATAAAGATTATGATTTGGGCTTGCCACACACCTCCAGAACAGAAGTGGTCGGTTCAACTAAGGGAAGTCTTGGAAATCTTTTGTCTAAACCACCAGTGGAAGGAGCCAAGACTGACAAAATGGAGGAAAGTCTGACATGTGTTATTTGCCAGGACCTGCTGCATGACTGTGTCAGGTAAGATCTCAAGGGCTGTGGCATCCAGATTGATATCTACACACAGGTGTACAGATAAGGACGTGAAATTATTTTGTTTTCTTGCAGCAAGTCTGTCAAATGCCAGTCGTATCTGTGTGTGTGTGTGTGTTTTAATTGTGAGTCTCCTGTTTTTGCTTTAGCTTGCAGCCTTGCATGCATGTCTTCTGCGCCGCCTGCTACTCGGGCTGGATGGAGCGTTCTTCTCTCTGTCCCACCTGCCGCTGCCCAGTGGAGAGGATTCGTAAGAACCACATCCTCAACAACCTGGTGGAGGCATACCTCATCCAGCACCCAGGTTTGCACAGATAAAGATGATTTATAATATGTAATAATAGCGTCTATAATCATTACACAGCGCTGCTATACTAGAGAACAAGACCTGCTCATTGTAGCTTTAATTAATGTCTTAAATGGCATCAGCTTAAAAAAAAATACGTGTTTGTTTCTGTCCTACAGAAAAGTGTCGCAGTGAGGAGGACCTGAAGAGCATGGACAGCCGTAACAAGATAACTCAGGACATGTTGCAGCCAAAAGTTGAGCGGTCTTTCTCTGATGAGGAGGGCAGTTCAGATTACCTCTTTGAGCTCTCTGACAATGACAGTGACTCCTCAGACATCAGGTAAAATCAACACCAATTTGGCACAGGATTTCTTTTTTTTTTTTTGTTATGAAGTAGAAATAAGATTTTTTTTTTTATGTTTCAGTCTAAATTTTGTCCTGCAACTTTAATGTCTTCTAGTACATTTTGAGGCTATTTCTGTCTCCATCTTTGTGTACATCTACCATGGTACCATGCCGTTCTAGTCTCTCAGGAGCTTAACTGAAAAAGCACCATACGTGTCACTCTACTCTACAATGATACAACTAGCTGACACTCCAGAACAAATTCAGTTATCACTTTCAAACTCTGGCTGTTACAGAACCACTTCTCTCTCTCCTTCATCCCTGCTTTAGCATTATCACAGTCATGTTCTTTTCACTGCAGAGCAGGGTTCATTCACTTAAATACCGTTCATTGTCTGTTAGTAGTTTGAGAAATAAAGATAATTAGTTGCTTAACATCCTGAGTCTTCTTTAGCAAAATTCTGAAAGATTTTAATGGTCGACTGCTCGCAGGATGTTATTTGTTTCATCAGGCGACAGCAAACTGATAGAAAGGCCAACTTGAGCAACTAGAGTCCTTGATAATGTTACATCAGCTTAACTGGTTTTAAATGTGCTTCAAATTGTCATAGTCTGTCCTTGTGAATTTGTTGCTGCTTGTTGTCTTGCTCTCAGTGGACTACAAATCAGTGTTCTCCATAAATCAGTTTGTTAGTTAATGCAATACACTTTGGAGCTAGAGGCTTGAGTGAGTTATTCCACTGATGCAAGAAGTTGACTTTGTCTTAAAGAAATTATGAGTCCATTTGTCTTTGTGCTTTTTTAATTGGTTGGGGGGAAAAAAGGGTTTCGTGATAGTCCATTTGTACAATCAGAAAACATGAAATGAAATATTTCTAATGTGTTGCATTAAACATAGATTTTAAAAAATAAATAAATACAGCGAAAATCTCAAGTTAAACATTTGCAAAAATCTGAAAGTATGTAAACATGTTTTGGTGAAGAAGATCTCTTATGTGATGTTTTCCTTTGTGCTTTTTGTCCACAGTCAGCCTCTGGTGATGTGCAGACAGTGTCCTGGCTACAGGGCTGATTTCAGCCTGTTTCCTGGAAATTCCAACTTCTGGTTCCCTGGTCTGCAAACTCTACCACCTGTACCTCCACCACCCAAACCAGCAACTGAGGAGGAGGCTGCACAGCCTACAGGGGAGCAGCCCTCAACATCCTCTGATGTCCATTCAGGTGATAATGATTGTAGCTTAGACAGGAAGATTAATGGATAAAGTGCAGTGTGCAGCTTCTAGGTCATTTTAATGCCAATATCTTGTGTTTGGAAAATACAGCTTGAAGCTCACTTTTGCACAATTAGAAGTTCCTCCTGCTTTCCTTTGAGGTCTCTAGTCTCAGCTCCAGTCTAAAACCTTTTCCTGCCCTCCTCCTCTGCAGCTCTTCATGACTACCGCTGCCCCCCTCAGGGCTGCCATCTCATTTGCACCTGCTGCCTCCAGCCGATGCCAGACAGACGGGCCGAACTAAACAACCAGCAGGTTCTTGCTCAACAATGTGAGTGGTCCCAGCACCTGTTTGTGCCTCTGCAGAAATGTAACGTCTGTGTTGGCCGAATGTGGGTGATTAAAATTATGTTGTCTCAGAAATTTACATGTCACTGCATTGAAATAGAAAGGCAGCTAATATACGAAACCAAAATTCCTAGATACTGTGAGCCAGTCAGTGCACTGTAAACTTCACAAGGCTACTCAGTGTAAAGACAAATTTAATACACATACTTGATCGTATGTAATCAGTAAAATCATGCTAGCTATTCACATGCTTGGATAGAAGACTGTAAATGCATGATGTGTTGTGTGTTGGCAGGTGTGCTGTGCCAGCGACCTTTCTGTCATATGTACTGGGGCTGCCCGAGGATGGGCTGTCAAGGCTGTCTGGTTCGATTCAGTGGTATGTATGACAAAACAGCCCCAGGGGCATCTCTACTCATTGTTAACTTGGGCCATTAGGATACCTTTTTTGGCAAATATTCTTTAATTAAAAGGGCTGATTCCTTTATAGCATCCAAATATAGTACCTGTACTTTTTGATTTTTCATTATAAGCACGGTGCTTTGTTCGTTTTTCAGTCTGCTAATAATAGGTATCTGTGGGAAACAAAGTCTTGCACATTTGTTAGAGGAGTCATCAAATGTCACAGGGGTTTTGTGCACCATTATAACACATACGCATATAAGACATCCTGCATAATGCCTCAACATTCTTCATCTTTTGAGGTACCCAACCTTCAGTGAAAGTTAAGTAGCAATAAGAAAGCGTTACATGAAAAGCTGCATACACAGTACTGTCGAAGTGATTCTGATTTTGGTTCAGTGTGGAAGAAACATTTGCTGTAGCTGCTGAGATGAACTTAAATTAGGGCTAAAACATTATAGCTAGCTCTTGTTACTTAGAACCACAGAGATGCAGCTCAGGAATGCAGACCTACAACGCAAAAAATGCTATGAAATATAGCTTCTCGGATATATTGTTCCTTTTTTGTTAGTTTCTCTGTTTGCTAAGGGATTGGTAGATAAAATTTGCTGTTCTGTTTTTTGGGGGTTTTTTTCAGAGCTCAATCTAACTGACAAATGTCTGGATGGTGTGCTGAACAACAATAACTATGAATCAGAAGTCCTCCAAGTAAGATGGACTTTATGTCAAATGTTTGTTTAATACTCATCATTATTTTTTCTCCAGTTATTTTATTACAGTGCATTATTTGCTATTAGACTGGGACAACTGTAACACATTTGCATTCCTGATAATCTTACTGGAGTATTTAAGATTCTGGAAATACATGTCCGCATATGCATTAAATACGATGCTAATGAGTGTTTCCATCCTTCCATCAGAACTACCTGTCCTCCAAGGGAAAGTCGTGGAAAGATCTGCTGAAAGAGTCTCTTCAGGGCTTACAGCAAGGAAGCTACGTTTTGATAGGTGAGCTCTCAGATCAGACCTTAAGAACACCTCACACTTCAAATATCCACTGTGACACGCCTCCTCCAAATACACACCGACACTGTCGTCAGAAAAGAGAGCAGTAATAGTCAGTCTTACCTTGTCTTGGTCAGATCGTCGTATCTCTGCAAACACTGTCCTGTGCTTCTGCTGCGGTCTGGGGGCATTCAAGGAGCTGGCCTACAAGTACAGACAGAACATCCCTCCATCCGAACTGCCAGGTCAGAACATTGTGAATTGCTTTTTTGAATTTCAGAGTTATACACCGTAACAAAGGCGTGCCTGCTGTTTGAGATGCTGTTTTTCACTTTTGTAATGAAACTATGCCCATGTAATAACTTCATTTGATGCTCTGTCCTTAGCTGGTGTAACATCTCGCCCCGACTGTTACTGGGGGCGCAACTGTCGTACGCAGGTGAAGGCACATCATGCAATGTAAGTTCTATTAAATGCAAAATACAGTGCTGCCCGTTTATTATCATACCCTCGATCCAGGATGGAATTATGACTATATCCAGGATATTCCAATAAGCAGCACTGTGAAAATTTTGTCTGCGTGATGAAAAACTGGGGTTTATAAAGCCAAAATGGGAATGTTTTCACAAGATCTAAGGGACAGTTTCTTTGAAGATCAAGAAATGTTTTTTCAAACGGAACTTTATGGTTTTGCTTCAGTGAAATTTCACCCTTGTCGGTACGAAAAGCCACCCCATCAATAAAAGTTATTCCCTTTAATCAGAGGGTATACACAGGATTAACTTACCATGATTAGCTAGCTGAGCAGTTCAGTTATGAGTGACGACATGCTCTGCAACAATGCGATTCTCTTTGATGTGACCTAATTAATGCCAGACAGTGTGAATAACTCAGTGAAGCAGATCTCAGGTGATCAGGTAATTGACAAACAAACAAACACACTGCCTTCCGCAGCTGACCGGAGTGTGATAATCTGCCACGCGTGACCAACGCTCGGCCCGTGAGCCAGAACGATCGGCCGACCACTACTTTAACCAGGCAAAAGTTATTCCTGGAATCAATTTTGGAGAATTTCATTATGATAAAAACCAGGATTATGACATTATTCTATGGCAATAAATGGGCTGTTTTACAATAGGCTATGTATGAAATGATTCGGGACTTCAATATTTTATGATTATAAATGGGATATTCTATGAAGCGGTATTACATTAAGTGGCAGCACTGTATAATGTTTAGGCTCAGGTAGCTGCTCCCTAGTGATTATGTGATAGAACTTCAGTTACCACTAACAACGACACATAATGACTGTTCCTTGTTATTATTACTATTATAGTGTATTTGCTCTTTTTTTTTTTTTACAACTTAGGTTTATCAGTAGCATTAGTGCAGTACATTGTAATTAAAACTGCTGCTTACCAGTAAAAAGTGCAAACCCATGTTAAACTACTGTTCTCACACACACACTTTTAAATACGGCAGAAATTACCTTAAGTATATATTAAATGTCACACTGAAACATCTTAATGAATAAAATATTTTCATGCTGTTTCTGATACACTACGCATTAGTGAATATTTATTTTGAAAAACCACAACTTGGATAGATACCAATTCATATTATGTAGAGTCAGAAATCTGCTGTGAAGAGTTCTTGCTCTACTTTGGACAAACATGACAGAGCTGTGAGACACTGTGTGCCTTCACTCTGCATGTTTTTCACTTGTTTTACCACTAGAAGGAGTCCTTGAATAAACTGTGTCCTGTAATTACCCACATGCACAATTTAAGTATCTGTGAAAGGTTATTGAGGTCATGTGATCGCTATGCTTTTGTTCTATTAATATGAAACACTTCATTTATGCGTGTGTGTGTCCCCTTGTTTTCGTTTCAGGAAATTTAACCACATATGTGAGCAGACGCGTTTCAAGAGCTGAAGGAGCAGAGTGGTTTGTTTCTTCTGCTAAATGTGTCAAATGTAGATAGCTGAACATCTCATGAGTTAGGGATACGGGCTCTTGTTAAGTTTTGTTGTGTACATTGTAACTAACTGCCTTATGCAATAACCTAATGCAGAAATTACAATCAGTGTCCATTTACAATAGTTGCCAGGGTTTTCACAGGGCTGTGTGACATAATGCTATGCACATTAAGATTAAAGTTTCAAGCTGCTCTTTACACTCAAGACCTGCATGGGTAATTCACACCATCCACTGCTTAAAAATGTCTGTCGTTGATGCATTTATCTTGCTTAATCAACCATCTTTTTTATAGATCGATTCATTTGTTTGTATGGGGAAATAGTTACAGGTGCTTCCTGATCTGTCTGTCCTCCAGCCTGTGGAACGAAAATAGTAGTTTTCTTCTCAGATTAAGAGCGAGAAAGGCAATCTGTATGGATTAAGGCCATATATGTGTGCTTACAAATGCTGGTGAGCATGCTTTTTGTCATGTCCTTCTCAAGCCTTGCTAATTGAGGCTTAAAAGAACTTTTACTTTCTGAGCTATTGATGTACTTTACCAGTCTGCTGAGTTTAGAATCAGGGTTTCTGATCTAGTCAATGTCATGAGAGTCACAGTAAAATGATCACTCGTATTACAAAGTAGTAATCCAAACTGCACTTAGCAATACATGTAAAAGTAAACGTCTCGCCTCCGAGAGACTTTTCGTGTTTGGCCTGGGCATTACTGCATTCCCAGGCGAGGGCAAAAACCCACGTCAAAGCCCCTCATGCACGTACTAGGGTAGATTTGTAATCCTATGTGATATTTGTGTAGGATTTTATGTCTGTGGGAAGGGAATCATTGTGCTGTAACGCTGTCAGGGGGCATGGGGGCCTCTGTTGTATGCTTGGCTCTGGATAATCATCTCCAAGGTGATTAAAGTAGTGTAGAAGGGACACTTTCGCAGACCCTCGTAGTAAGGGCTAATCTGTGATGAAATGCATGGTTAACTCCATGTAGACTCTGCGGAGGAAAAGCAGACTGCAGTCAAAGCAGCCAGTAATATTAGTGACAATTGCCCATGGAGAAGAGTTTTGAAATGCTGCTTTTTTACAGCATACACTTACAACTGAGAGAACTGTGCCAATACAAACACAACAGTATGTTCTGTTGTCAAGTTGTCATTTGTTTTCCAGTTATATATATATATATATAGCTTACTTTAGTTGGATTTTCTGCAGTTCCTCAGGTACACAAAGCTACTGTTTTGTTGTTTTAACTGCAGTTTAACCACACTTGGTGGTTTGTGTCAAAATGTAAAAAGCTGTCACTGAGCAGCAATTTAGAATCCGATGACCTCTCATTTACGACTATTTCACCCAAGTGTCAAAGTTCATATCATGAAACATGCACAGCAAATATTGATGTCTGCTGTAAAAATCTGACAAATCAAATCTGTTTTTTTTTCTTTTGCCTTATTTAGCTTAGTCAAATTAAAACATCCACATGCTACTTTCAAAAGGCCTTGTATACTGAAATATGGGGATGAAGTAGCAATTTTAATGTTTGCCCCCCCTTTTTTTAATAGGATCACTGTTATAGATGTGTAGAAAATGCTGGTGGATGTGAAGAATGGAAAAATAGAAAATGTTAAAATCAGACCTTAGCTGGCGTCCAGTGCACTTAGTGTGATTTCACACATAAACACTGGTCTTATTTTTCATTGTTTTAATAGTATTTCAGTTGATTTAGAAGAAAACTTACTGAAGATGTCTAAAAATGTTAGATGTTTATATTGTAAATCTATGAGGATATTTGCACATATTTGTCTCTCACATTTAAAGGCTTCTTTTTCAATCTTTATGATTATGATATCAAACACCCCGGTGAAGCTGTCTGTATCCAGGGATGTCAATATTCTGACTCAGAATATTTGATTTGTAATCATATGAAGAGTTTCATTCCAAAAGGAGATGTAAATGATCAGAAAGAAAACTGTAATAGGGGAAAAAGGTTTTCTGTGATATTTTGAGAAAATTATGTCCAGTTTTGATACACAGTTAATTACATGGATGACATTTGCCATGGTGAATGTTGTTTTGGAATGTAGCTCATCATGTTTTCATAGGTGGAAAAACGGGGTTGTGAATGGGCACTTTCCTGGCCTCTGCCTGAGCTCCTTAGTTAATTTGTGGTGTTAGCAAGGTGGTTTAGGTGTTTCTTGTACTTTCATTAATTTTTTTTTATTTTACCCTCTCATTCATGTTGAGTCCACGGTGGCATTCCTTAGCAGCTCAGGCCCTCAGCACAAGCCTGGTCGATCCCCCGACAGAGTGGCTGAGTTTTAATTATTCCCTACAGGAGATCTGGGCACCCTAAGCCAACAACAGTCCCAAGCCGCTCCAATCAGCAATTGGTATTAGAGGCTTTGGAGGAATGCTTTGCATTCTCCTTGCGGTTGTGTGTGTGTTTGGGAATGGGGGGGTGGTTTATGTTGTATACTAAGGCAAATATTTACTCACTTTGTGTGCAAAAGTCTGGACCAAGCTGCTCAGCAGTATGGAAGAGGCAGGTTTCATTCTACCTCATCACAGCTCTCAGAATTATGGGACTGAATGGGCATCAGTCACATTCACATCAGTTACAAAGTTGGGCATGCATCTCTCAGTATGAGGGGTGGACGTCCTCACTGATGCCTGTAAACTCTGTATGCAATGCACTATTTTAACAATTAGTCTAGACTATAATCAACTTCTAGGTAAATCACCATAGAGTAGCACTATAGAGTTGTCGGAATTTGAATTTGAGAAATATGTTTGAGTTTGATGAATATCTCTTTACCCTGTATGTTGTATTAGCACTGCTAAAATTGTCTTTGAGATGCATATGTTTTGCCTGTTTCTTAATGAATTAAAAGACTGATATAGCCATAATTAAAAACTGACTTGCTTTTTTCAACACCTGAAAGTCTCCCTTCACTTTAAAAATCGTTGTAGAAGTAGTGTTCACATTTTTCCTCAGAATGTTCATTTATTTTAAATTGCTTACCTTGTAATTGTATTTCCACCTAGCACAAGTTTGAATTTCCAACAAATCAGTTTTATGTCAGATTAAGGACACAAGATGTGAATGACATTGCCTTTATTAAAACTTTACATAAATTTATACCAACTTATTTTAAATACTACCGTAAGTGCTAGTTCTTTCTATATACTACATAATGGTGTATATTAGTACTTGATATGCTTTTATTTTGATTTCCCTTTTTATAATCCAGTATTAGTCTTAGGATTAGATATTGTATGTTGTAACATTGATATAATGTATGATATATGCTCTGCAGAACACTTTGGGGTAATATATATGAAATAAGCACATATTAACCAGTACTAAAATTACCACATGACAAACCACATTAAAGGAAAAAGCAGAATGCTAGAACAAGGAGTATGAAATCCACAATGAAAGAGCTATTGAAAGCAAAGTGCAATGGTTGGAGTATTATAACTCTGAATAGCATCAAACTAATTAATAAATCTGGTTTTAAAAGTGCTCCTAACAGTTGAGGAGTTATGGAGTACACACTCAAAAATACTTTTTGTTCATATTTGCAATTGGTCATCTTTTTTTAAACACAAAATACCACAGCAGGCATGGTACAGTAAGCAGCATATTATATCTTTCTTCAAACACAAGTTTATAAAAATAGAAAAACTAAAGTGAGAGGAGTATATTTGACAACAGGAAGCTACGGAGTACATAATCATTTTGTAAGAGTTGATTTCAGAAATTAAAGAAGTAGGTTATATATTTCACAGTGACACTAATAGAGTTCAAAAATGCATAACTGGCCCACCAGAGTCCCTGCTCTTCACCATCTTGTCACATCTGGTTGGTCACACTGCACAGCCCTGTGGACAGACTGAGAGGTGGCTGGCTGTCACTGACTGTGTTTGACTCGGTGAGGGCGCTGGAAGGGAGAGGACCAACCCCTCCAGACACCTGGCTCCCCCATGGCCTCCACTCTGGTCTGGCCCTCTGTGGGCTGAGGCTGGTGCTTCCTACAGCAGGCTTCTTCCCCTCATATGTCCCCCTAACCAGTCCATTCATCACGGCAGAGGCAGCGGTCTGGTCCAGGTGCTCAGCAGAGACCAGAGGCTGCCGGTCCTCCTCTTCAGAGATGGCAAACACGGGCACGCTGATATGATCGCCCTCGCCTGGGAAATCGCGCCTCTTTCCAGCCTGGTTACTCTCAATCTGACACTGAGAGGACATAGGAGAGCCAGAGCTGGGCTCTGAGGGGGAGCCCAAAGCATGAAGAACCCCAGAGGCCTTCACTGGGTCTGTTGTCCCAGACAGCAGGCCAAAGCAAGGCCCTGTGAAGCGTGTGCGTCGCAGGTTGCTGGTGGAGTTGAGACGCCGCTGCCTTTGTGCAGACTGCGTTAGTGGGTAGGAGGCATTGCTGATGGAAGAGTCGGAGATGACGCTGGTGTCTGGACTGGCCTCGAGGTGAACATCAGAGAAGACCTTCCTGCTGTCGCCAGCTCTGCAGTCAGTCGCCAAACTGGATGGAGCCTGGAATGATATGCATGACATTGTTTGTGGTCAAAGAAACCTTTTTCACAACAGACTTTTTGACTTACCAGAGTAAAAAAAAAAAGCACAGAGTTAACTAACTCGTGATGGTTCAAATCCATTTTAGTAAGCTGTGACAGTGAGCCAGCAGGCACAACATCAGCACCGTCTAATAACAACAACCCAATAGAAGATAATGTTACACATTATAGCTGCTTTCCATGCCTTGACATGAAAATGGTCCAACCATTTTGCAAAACTGCAGGTGAAATAGCATAACCCAAATTATGAAATCTTTTGTTATTGCTTTTGGTGGTATCTAAACATGCAGATAGTTTGGGCTTTATTTGTCCAGGTTGTGTGATATCCATCTCTAAAATATCTGCATTCATCATTGCAATGAAAGTAAGTTGTATATGTACAAATCAAAGCAGCTTTTCTCAGACAACTTTCTGGTCATTGAGGATATTGTTCACAATCTGTTTTGGTTACATTTTTTATACTGATACTTTAAGTTAAGTAAAAGTACTTAATCATCCCAACCTACTGACGGTTTTATTAGCAAAGCTGCAAAGTTGTTATGACTCCCTGGCAACTAACATCCACCATTCATCAACTTTACATGCCATAAATGTCTCTGGCTGTGAAAACACTGCAAAAGTTCTAATACTAACGCTGTCCACCAGCTTGGTAAAGGGACTGGTGGAGTTCCAGCTGCACCACTTCTTATGAAGCTGTGGTAATGGAGGGAGGAAGTCCTGGAAGGTGCGTACGCTCCACGCTCTTGGTCTGGCACAGCCACTGCTGCCGTCCTTGACGGACCTGGCACCAGCAGGCGAGTTGGTGGAGTCTGGCGAGGGCCAATCACCTGCAGGGCCAGGACCAGTGTCACTGTGTCGCAGAAACCTCTCCCGCTGCTACAAGACACAGAGTCAGAAAAATGAAATGATATAACATCAGCAGCTGCATGCAGTGGGCACCAGTTGAGGGTTGTCTGGTGAAAATTGCATTTTTACTGGCGGCCATGGTGGTCTTCAGCTGTGTCAGCGGATTATACTCAGATAACAGTGACGCATATAATCTCTTCACCTGCTCCTCCGTGACCAGAAACTGAAGATGTCTTAATTTATGGATACCAAACAAGGAGATGCTGAAAATATATACTGGCAATAAACTCCTCTCAAGACCAAAGGTTAAAAGAGTGGCCTAGAGAGGATAAAGAAACTAATGATGAGCACACAACGTAAATAGCTCACATATCAGAGGTGGCATTATGTTCATGCACTCAACTGCAGCTACAATGGTCAATGACCTGCACTGAACAGCAAGCTTGTTACTGGATCAAGCACGCATCTTTGCTATTAAGCACTGATTGAAAGGCTCAGCTAGCAACAGAAGCACTGCTTCATCTCACTGTAAATGTAAACGAACAGAGAAGGATAATAGTGTCAGTCAACTAGCTGAAAGCATCAGATCTGTGGATTTGACTATTTAAGTCACAAATAGGTTTGAAGTATTGTCAAAACAAATAGCTACCTCTCAAATAGTAAGAAAAATATTCTTTAATGCCTAACACTTAAAATTAATTTCTGTCAAGCAGAATTAGCATTCAAATGGTGTCACAATGTGCAACCACATAGTCCTTTGGGTGAGGATATTAAGAACTGACTGGCTGCCAGTCTGCTGGCTGCACCTGCTACATTTTCTCCTCACACCTGAATTTCTCCCTACAGATTTTGTTGTGTACTACATTAATGGATTAAAAAGAAGGAACTGTGCTGATTAGCTTAGCCCGATCAGCCAGCCAGCCAGCCAGCCAGCTGAGCATGTGTGGCTCACGTACAAATTTCATCATTATTTATTAAGTATATTTAAGCCGTCAATAGAACAGTAGGGGCTTTGGAATGATTTCAGTCACATTTGTGGTATTGTGTTTGCACACACTCTTACTATCTTAAGCGTACATTACGGTTCCATAACAAAGGACCGTTTGAGGGGACACTGCAGTGCACTAAGCCTTGTATGGGTCTTTCTTGCTTCAGCGACCAGGAAAGGCTAAATGTGATCGACAGGTTAGATGAGCAAAGGTCACTATATCATTTCTGATCAGTCAGCTGCTGTTGGATCAGGGGAGGGCGAAGGTTTTAGGGGTTACACTCATCAGAGAGAGAGATAATCCTTCCCACAGAGTCACTAACAGCTAGCTTTGTCTAGACAAGAATTAGCTAGGGGTTTAAATAAAATGTTCTTTTGCTCACTAAAGCCTAGTGAACACAATGGCAACTTTTAGATTTAACACACGAGGCAAAAAAATCAGTCACTCAATGCAGTCGCTTACAAACAGCGGTTCAAAAAGGTGGAGTTGGAGACCCCGCAGGGGTGTCTGGGGAAGCCTTACATAGTCCCCAGAAAACAGAACCAGTTGAATAAAGTGTTGATTTTAAGACAGAAAGTAAGAAAGACTGGATTTAGATCCAGACTTCTCTACACTGATCTCATCACTCTGTTTAGAGCAAGAAAGGTTTTCAGCAGTTCACACTTCTATAAATTGAGGCTCTTCTCAGAACGGGTCCTTTGCAGCAAAATGTTGATAAATATGGATTCATGGCTAACCTGGAGGTTTACCTGGCACTGACACTGAGAAGATGAATTTAGCATTTCTCAATGAGCTTTGGTAGGAGATGCAACATTTCCCAAACATTATGTACATGGATGTCTGCATTGAGGACACACACAGGCAGACCACACACTGCGCACCAAAGCATGCATGACACACACCCACATACACACACACACCCACACACACAAACACACACACACACACACAATTGGAGCTGGGAATCTGGCTCTGTAGATAATACTCCATTAGCCTAGGCTGCAGAAAAGCTTGCCAGTCCTTCAAAAAGCTGCCAGAGTTGTTTTATGCCAACTCTTATTCCAAGAGAATACAAAAGAGAGAGGAGAAAAAAAATGCTTGGTTGAACCATTGCTCCTGTAACGCTCCTCCCATCTTTTAATTATCCTCATTTCCCATTTATGTCATCATAGTTTTCATAGTTTCCAACAGAACCATGCGTACGCCAGTATAATGGTGTCAGTCTTATTAGGAACACGGGTCAATTTAAGGCAATGAATGCCTTGCCACCTCTGATTACCAGTGGTTCAGGGTTCATGTACCCAAAGCGAGGAGATCACCCATTGAGTTTGGCCTTGAGATTAAATGGACAGATTCACTACTTACTGTATGGCATCAAGGCTACTTTCTGATAGAACTTTGTTTCCTACTTACTCAGAGCACATAAAACAAGAATATGCTAACATGCTCACAGCAACAATGCCAACATGTTCATGTTTAGCAGGGATAATGCTCAGTATCTTCATAATCTTACTGAGCAGGTTAGCATGCTAACATTTGCAAATCAGCACCAAAAGTAGCTGAGACTGATGGCAATGAGTGGGAATGCCATTTGTTTTGTGGGTTCATTGTTTCTTTTTAAGGATTTCCATTAGCTCTGCCCTGAAGCACAGCAAAGTCCTCCTGGGGTCCACATCAGGCTGTTTTTCACTGCTGGAACTTGCAGGGCATTTTAGGGCTGCCTTGACCTTTGAGCATGTTCTGACTGCAGAAACCGCCTCTGTAGAACATTCTTCAGAGCACTGTTCTGGGGTGAAAAAAGTACCCAATGAAGGTGCTGAGCAGACCTGTAAAGCCGAGTAAACAACGGAGACAACAACAACAACAACAACAACAAGTGAAGAGTTCATTTAAAAAACAGATAACTCCATCTTCACAAACCTTCAGAAAACCCACTTTTCCATCGTCTACCTGAGACAATATCAATCAAGCTTAAGTTATCTTTGTTTTTGTCATGTCATTTCTACTGAGTCAAATCCACTCACCTTCAGTTTGATTGATATGATCTCAAGCAAACAACAAAAAAATATGTTTTAAAAAAATCTACAAAAATGGAGTTATCTGTTTTTGCAAATGAACTCTTCAAGTGCTGAATCGCAATGTTCTACTTTCTAGCCTCACAATCAACAATGTAAAATGTTAGTAACAAATTGCATGTCAAGCCTTTCAACATTTGTTGAGACATTTTATTCAAAGCTACATCTGCAAACTGAATGTTGGCACTATAAAGAAAGTGTCAAGGTGTCACCCAAGGCAGGAGGCTTCACCCTCTGATGATTGCAAATGTGTATACTAAATTTCAAGGAAAATCCACTGAATAGTTACTGGGATATTTCCGTCTAGATCAAAGTGATGGACCGACCAACTGTATGAAAGTGTCATCCACTGAGCGATGCCACTTGCATGCAGATTTTTTTAGGTTCCTGAAGGGTCAGCTGTGGATTATGTAAGATCACATCGAGGTCATACTTGAGGGGCTGACCCACTGCCTGACTGACTACCTGAACTTCTGTGTGGATGTAGTCTCTCCTGCTAAGACTGTTCGTTGTTACCCGAACAACAAACCCTGGGTGACGCAGGAGATCAAAGCTGCACTCAACAGGAAGAAGGTGGCCTTCAGGAACAAAGACAGGGAGGCAATCAGATCAGCACAGAGGGAGGTGAAGCTGTGCCTGAAAGAGGCCAAAGACACCTACAGGAGGAAGGTGGAGCAGCAGCTGAGGGACAACAACATGAGGGAGGTCTGGCAGGGTGTCAATACCATCACGGGCTTCAGAACTAAAGCCAGAACAGCAGGGGGGACGGTGGAGGAGGCAAACAATCTGAATGCCTTCTTCAACCAGTTTGACCAGTCCATGACCCCCCAGCCCTCACCCTCACCCTCACTGCGGTCCCCTCTCCCCCCTCCCTCAGTGTGCCTCCCTCTCAACATCAAACCCCCCCCCTGCATAACAGCCGACCAGGTCAGGGGACAACTGAGGAAGATCCGACACAGGAAGGCAGTAGGACTGGACAAGGTGTGTTCATGGATGCTCAAGTCCTGTGCTGCTCAACTGGGAGAGCCGCTACAGCACATCTTCAACCTCAGCCTGCAGCTGGGGACAGTGCCCACCCTCTGGAAGACATCCTGCATC